GAGGTTGGGTGAGCCCCAGAGTCAGTGTGATATTGAAGATAATCACTGCCTATGCCAGGAATCAAACCTTGGTTGTCTAGTCATAGACTTATTACTGTTACTGTTGAGCCATACCAACAACTGTCTGCATAGTCAGTCACTGGAAACAATTCAAAATAACATGACATTAACTATTCTACAACTTTCCAGTTGCAGTTTGCATGTATGTTGAATAATTCCTTGAGAAAATGACAGTTGCTCATTTTGGTCAAGAAATTCCCTGCCTTGAGCCTGATGATACATGGCAAGATCCCACAAACATCTTTACCTTTTAAATATTAACAAATCAATTATGTATTCTATGTGAATATGTGATACTTTTGAATAAGGATGGGAGCACAAATGGTAGTTATTTAAAGAACTTTCCTGGTAAATGGTACCAGTTGTGATGCTTGGGACTTAGACTAACCAGGGGCTTTCTAACTGTAAGTCACACAAGATGTTTCTCTGGATATTAATGTCAATCCTCCTTCAGTCCTTGCAGTGATCTGCTCAGTATATATGTTCTTATGTCACTGATAGGTGATGCGAGATGCAAAGGATGGTATCACATCTGTTGCGGTAACTGATCATGAGATTGTGACAGGATCACTGGATTGCAAGGTGCGACGTTATGACATCAGAGCAAACAGATTATTCTCCGACTTCATAGGAGGTATTAACACATTGAAGAAATGTTTTTGTAATCTAGTAGCCTGTTCACATTAGTCTCCCATCCCACATTAGTATTTGTCTGTATAGGGAACCACCATTAGTGCATTGTTATGAAAACAAAGAAGTGAACTGTTGAACCATGTTTCTACATCCTGCTGGGCCATTATAATATCTAATACACCCTCAGTTGTATTTTGTTATGGAATGTAAATTTTATGAGGTAGGATTGGACCTACACTTACATGATCTGAGACTAGAGAACAATTAAAGCAGAAATGAAAGTAAACAAATTGAAATAAGAAGCCACCAAAACATGTAATGTACAAGTTAATATTTTAGAACTGATTTGAATTGTATGAACATTACATGGTGGAAATAAAGAGTCTCCAGTGATGTGAAGTGGGTGTCAAATTAGTGGTTGTGCACATTTTTTGCCACATAAAACACTTTTACCCTTCATGAATTTTTACAGCATACTGGAACATACAGCTGTTCCAGTTTTGGGCCACAGTGGTCCCACAACCTCTGATAGCTTTCACATGCTTCTGGGACATATTGGCAACAGTTCTGTTCTCTGCTGTAGTTTTGTATGATGTACTGATAGATGAATATCAAAATCTCTCCATTTTAAACCTTGGAGACCTTACATTTTCGTACTGTGTGACATACAAATATTTTCTATTCTAACATAAAATATCATATTTCGAGTGTTTATTTTACTGAAAGATTTGTTAACATGTACTTAAATTCAAGGTTATTTGGCTTCCTTTTGTTTTAACAAGTTTTATGCTTTGTATTCATAAAATTATTACTTATAATGTAAAACTACAGATTAATTATGCTAATAAAATGAGAAGGCATAAATACAAAGATAGAAATCACCTTAATATATTACCCTTCAGATCCTTAATATGTGCTGTATCAAGGGAGTATATCAATTGTTATGTGGATGGCATATTTCAGATGCAGTGACATATGTGAGTATAACACGTGATGGACAGTGTCTGGTTGTGAGCAGTGCCGACAACATGGTGCGGCTGCTGGACAAAGCAAGTGGAGACTTGCTGGGAGAGTGAGTTATATTGATAAAGCAAGAAATTTTCTGTTACTGGAAGTGGGGCCAGTTGAAATATGCTGATAATATTAATTTTATTACAAACAATATAACTACTGTACAGGTTGACTTTGTTTTTATCAAATTCTTCATACCTGTTTCTACGTTTTGTATATGGATTAAACTGACAAGACTGCTCAGAAAATGTTAGTGGTTTAAGTACATTTTAAAAATGTTACACAGGAGAATAAATTGACATGTTAGTACAGTTGCATTTAAATGTACAGAGGTCAGATATGAGTGGAAATTTATATGCTTACAGTACCCAGTAGGCATTCTGATACAGCTGATTCAGAAATGATATACCTACACCTGCCTGTCTGAATTGGCAGATAATCCCCCCCCCCCCTTCCCATGAGTGGTTGTTTATTTGGTAGAAAAATAAATATCTAAATTCACTTTTACGTTGGTTTTGCTTAAGACAAGACTTTTGAGTCCTTTTAAGAAATGATAAAATTAATTTGTATAAGTGAAAATGTTTTGTTTGATATTAATTTATAAATTTATTTAGTCTGAGTGTTACTTTTTGATACAGATATTCTGGACACCACACGGGTGACTTCTGCATGGAGAGTTGTGTGGACAACCGAGATCACCACGTTTTATCTGGCTCTATAGATGGAGACATTTGGTGCTGGGACCTGGTGCAGGGGACAGTCACTGCAAGACTGACACATGATAAGGGACACATTGTGCACTCACTGAGTTCACACCCCTCTCAGCTATTCCTGGTGTCTGCATCCCGTGGCAGTGTCAAGTTGTGGGGCATGCCAGATGAGGAACTTTAATTTGTCGTCACTGTATTCAAATTCCACAGTACAAAATGGGATGTTTTTGTTTTACTCAGGAAACTAAGGCTTTGCTCTTCTTAGTCTAACTGAAGATATTTTTCAGGTGTACTTCATGAATTGAACAATGTAAGATTTATGGCAGGGTAGGAGTTAACATATGCCCAATTGATTTTCATTCATTTACAGTTATTATATTAACAATGACTGATGAACATCTTCATGCATTGTTTGTCTACTGTGTACTAAGATGAGTTATCATCAGATGGACCCCAAATATCTCAAATATATATGTCACTTCCAAAGGTAGTGATTATATATTATCAAATGTTCAATTGTTATGCTTCTTATTGTTGTGTCATGTCTTTAAGTATTGCTGTCTGATAATCCCTTTGACATTATTTTCTTAGTGAACTAGCCATTCAGATATTGCACCAGTTAGATGTCTGGGTACCTACTGTGAAAGGAAAATGTAAATATCATGTGCACTTAGACTAACTAACTAGATGGCTTACTATTTACCCTATAAATAAGTACACATAATAATAATAATTCACAGATTCTTATGTTATATAACAATTCTACATAAAAATAAATAACTAATTAAATGGCTTACAGAACCCGAAGGTTCATCACCGAATTCACCAATGCCCTCCACCGGACCGTCCTGGGCCAACAAAATCCAGTCTCCTTCAACTCCTATCTCCCATAGATCCCTCCTGAGATTATCCTCCCATCTATGTCTAGGTCTCCCCAGCGGTCTCTTCCCAACTAATACCCGGTGCACACCTCTTGCCCCACCCATCTCATTCTTCTTGACTAAATTAATCACCCTGACAGTAGTCGGGGAGGAGTATAAATTTTTAAGTTCATCATTACACAGTTTTCTCCATACCCCATCATCCTCTCTCCTAGGCCCAAATACCCTCCTTAACACCCTATTTTAAAACACCTGCAATCTATGTTCCTACCTTAGAGTGACAGACCATGTTTCACACCCATACATAACAACAGGCAAAATTATTGTTTTGTATACCTTAATCTTCAGGTTCTTAGAAATCAGACGGGAAGACAAAATATTTTGAACTGAAAAGTAGCAAGCATTTCCAGAATCTAGTCTCCTTCTAACTTCCCCATGAGTATCATTTTCATGTTACATAGCTTATCTGTATTCGTTTTGTTTGCTTCCTTCTATCTGTTAATTTTGAACACTTCATCAAACCATAGTTTATTTTGCATTCTCCTGTAGCATCCTAGTTTCTCTTTGGCTGAAATTTTAATACAGTTTCTGACATTTTCCCACTCCGTCTTGATGTCCACACTTTCATTATCTTTATCTGTCTCTGAAATTTGAAACCTATTTGAAATTTCAACTTGATATTGTTCCTTTACCTCTCCCTCACTTAATTTTTTCAAATCAAATCTTTCTGTGTCAAAATTTTGGTTAGTTTTTCTAATTACTGAAAGCCACTCCCTCACTCTTGCTACCACCACATAATGGTGTCAGCATTGTTACACAAAACTTACCACGTGCACTTAGAAAAATCATAATTTGTAATGATACTACCAACAAATCTGCAAAAGAACTTTATTGGTAGGCTAGCAAAAACAGTGAAAAAGTACAATCTTCATTGTTTGATTCT